CCATTTCAGGCACGGCTCCTGATCCTAGATCAAATCTAGGAAGCGCCCAGTACTGCAAGGAGCTGACGGTCAGCCACCCAGAACACAGGACCCACCGACTGACTCCACAACACTGCTGGAGAATGCAACGGCACCATCATTTACTTTGTTAGTCTCTTACTACTCAGGGCAAGGGAAAAAGAGATGGAGCATCTGCCCCTAAACGACAGAAGCATGAGGCCTACTGGGGCTCTCCCCCGTGCCCAGCTCTTCAGATCGTTTCTTGTGGCCGCTGCTGTACCACATTTGTGGGCGGTGCCAGGAAAGTGGCCCCTACTTAGAAGTCACAATGCCGAGCATTTGCTTACAATCTTTATTGGGAGTCATACAAAAGTTGCCAAAAAGTGAAAAAATACACTATATACAAAATCGTTTTCCTTGGGAGAAGAGGAGTGTCCCACGTTGGAGAACTATCATACTGTACTTTCAACTGCAGCCCCTGCTTCCACCTGTGGCCTTTTCTCTGTCTAAAAGAGGAATACACGTGGTTAGGAGCCAGCCGCAGGCACTACAGAACAGCTCGTTCATGCACCAGCTCCGAAAGCATCTAGCTTGGAGAGCTGTGTTAGCTTGGACTTCGCTGAGCGTTAGAGAAGCCAAGAACTTCTCCAAAACTCAGGCACAGACAATCAGCCTTGGCCTCGTGACACCAATTTTTGGGAATCGCACAGAACCAACGTGCTTGCACACCAGCACTCTGGGAGCAAGAACCGCGTGCTGCAGTTCAGCTGCTGTCGAGACGCTGCTGAACTCCACTGCACGCTGCCAGCCCCCCCGCCCCCCTGTGCAAAGCTCCGTGGCTAGTTCACTTGACAATGAAAGGACGAGATACCTTGTGGGGAACATGCAGGCAATAAAAGTAAAAAGGGTTACAGCGAGCAGGCGTGAGCGCGTGCCTGCCCCGAGAAGGAACACGCGTGGCCCCGACTCCTGACTCAACTGCCCACCTCCTCTTCCATTTTTTCTGCAACCTCATTTCCACTGGGGGCAGCATCACCACCGCCATTGACAGCCGGCTCGGGTTTAGATTTCTTAGCTTCATTGTCTCCCTGCTGAGTCTCCTCCTCTGGTTTCCTCTGAAGACAAAATCATTTAGTCTTCACTATGTACAATTTCAAGCTTAAAGAGTTCAGCAAGTTAGTGTCTAGGTGTTGCTGCATGAGTGACAGGGTCACAACGGATACGCAAGGGTTAGGACTGCACCGATGCCGTGGGCTCGTTTCGGGTGCTCCAACCGCTGGCCTGCAAATACGGCATCACCAGAATTCTCACTGCAACTGAACGGCCTTAACGATTTGATTTGTAATTTTTTCATTTCCAATTACAATTACAAGCAGAGGAATTTTAGCACCTCCGACATTTCCCATCAGCTCTGCAGCAGCAGATCAGAGCCTGCTCCAAAAGCTGGACTGGAGGAGGCAGCCACCGTGGCATGCCATCCCAGTCGCTCGTTAGGCCAATGAAGAATCTCTAGGGAAGTCCAAATTCGAGAAACAAACACGTATTTTTAGTGCAGAAAGGGCCTACGCACTAGCGTCCTTTAGAATTACCTGCATGTCATTACTCCAGTAAGAGGTTCTTCTCCAAGCTTGTGGTACGAACGCGACACATTTTAAACTGGCTTTGCTACGTCAAGTCCAATTCTCCGTTTCCACTTGGCAATAAGGGAACCCAGCTTAGCCTGGTGGTTTGCCCTTCAAACAGGGTCTGTGCACTGCCCTGCAGGTCCCCTCTTCACTGCAGCACTCATTTAAGGAGCGCAGGAGCTGCACAGCCCAGCTCCAAGGTTAAGCCAGCGTGGGGCAGGTGGGGGGCTGCACAGCACCAGCAACCATCAAAGCCACTCTCAGGAAGCCAGATGGTTCCCAGGCTGGTTGGGTCCCAGTGGAAAGGAGTTCTGTGCAGTGTTTCTGGGTTTAATTTTGAGCACAGCGGCAGGTTCGTTAGCCAAGAAGTGACGAGTGCACAGTGCGAGCTAGCGTTCATTTTTTCATTATTTGTCCAAATAGCAACTTCTAAAACACACCTTTTTCCTGACAAGGTGGGAGATGTCTGAAACACACTGAGACGCTCCATCAGCCGGTTTTCTTACTGGAATCTGTTACAAACCAAACGGCAAATGTTAAGACTGTCCAATAAACTCACAGTTAAACGTTCTCCCGCAACAATACCCTGCACTTACTGGGGAAGCGGAAACACTTCCTCCGCTCTGTGTGAAGCCAGAAGTAGTTCCACTAACCTATGAACAGAAAGAAAACAACAGTTAGCCAAGGCCTGGACCACGGGCCGGATAATTTCAGCATCCAAAAGTACTGCAAAGGAACTGTCCCGGGGACGGGAGGGGGAGGCAGGCAGTCAACAACTACTCTTGGGTTTAGGACAGTAAACGCACAACATGGAAGAGCTGTAAAGATGTATACAGACATATCCTCTCTGGCCTGGAACCTGCTGCCCACCTCTGGAATCCATGCGTCCATTTCCAATAACTAAATGGAGATTTTTAATATGCTTTTATTTTAAGGGAACAGCTAAGCCAACATTTAAAAATAACACTGGCCATCCATTTCTCCAGTCAGCACCGACCAACTCAATCCTGATTTTTTTTTTTTTTTTTTAAAATCACTGTGAAGTGCTTAATCCTCAAATTAAATTTTATTTCTGTACAAGGTGTTCAAATTGTAGAGTGAGCGTTACCCCACCAGCCGAGATTGAGCCGACTGTGCAGACAGACTTAGCTGAAAGCTAGGTTAGTATAAGCTAGTCTGTATTAGTAATCCAGAAACAGTGATAGTTCAGTCTTCTCAGGGCTGACAAAAGCTTGTCTCTTCTACCAAGCAGCACTTTCCTTAAGACAGACAGAAGGATGTCACCGCCGCCCCCCAAGAGATAGCCAGAGGTAGCTTTATCTAAATAAAATAAATACACTTTTTAAGTACCATAGACAGACTAACCAGAGTTGCCTTCAAAGCCAGTTCAGCTACTCCCGCGCTCCTCTGAGACTCCTTCGAGTCATCTATCTTCTCCTTTATTTCAGGAAGCAGTCCCTTCAGCTCCTCGATCTCCTTCTCATCTTGAGCAGATCCTCCTCCTGCTTTCTTTACCCGTTCGGTCAGCATCACTACAAGACAAATTGGGTGGCAGTCGTGCATTAGCACGAGAATGATTTTACTGACAGGACCCAGTACAGAACAGTCATAGGAAAGTGGGGCTGGAAGGCACGTCATGAGGTCACATCTAGTCCAGCACCCTGCTCAAGGCAGGATCCAGCCCTGACTAAGCCACCCTTGTCCAACCTGCTCTTCAAAATTTCTAGGGATGGAGATTTCACCCATCACTTCTCTGGGCAGCCTGTTCCAATGCCCAGCCACCCTCAGGGCCACAAAGTTGTTCATCCTGAGCCTATGTTTCCCTTGCTGCAACTTGAGGCAACTGCTCCTAGTCCTGTCCCCTGTGGTCACAAGGAAGAGACCATCCAGTCTCTCCAATTGCCCTTCAGGTATTTAAAGACTGTCATCAAATCCCCCTCAGCCTTCTCTTCTCCAAGCCCCTGGTAAGTCTCTCCCCCCCCGGCTCCAAAACATTTTTCCTGCTCTGCATTGGACTCTTTCTAAACTGCCTACATCCTTCTGGAAGTGAGGGGCCCAAAACCAGACACGGCACCTCCAAGGGAGGCCTCATCAGTGCTGAGCAGAGCAGAATCATTTCCCTTGATTCTCAAGTGACACTCCTGTCAATACAGCTCAGTAAGCTGCTGGAAGGGTTTTTGGCAAGAGTACACTGTTAGGTCCCATTCAGCTTACCCACAGGTCCTCCTCTGCACTCCTGCAGCCCAGCCAGTTATTCCCCAGCCTGCATTTGTGCACACAATTATTCCATCCCAAGTGCAGGACTTTGCACTGGTCTTGGTCGAATCTCACCTGGTTGATGGTGGACCTTTCCTCCAGCCTACCCAGGTCATTCTGGATTCTAGCCCTGCCCTTCAGAGAATCTGCAAGTCCCCCTAACTCGGCGCCATCCACAGATTGCTAAGTGTGCACTCAGTCCCAGCACCTAAATTATTCGTGAAGATGCTGAATACCATACCTAGGGCAGACCCCCACTGGATACATCCTCCAAAGTCCACACTGAGCCATTGATGACTACTCCTCGAGCACGATCAAACCAGTTACGTGTCCACCTTACAGCATTCTAGTTTGCTTTGGCAACAACAAGCTGCGGAAATAAAGCCAGCTTTCCTACAGGTCAATTTACTAGGCCAAGCTCTAGCAAACCCACTCACCCAGTCTCTTGTCAATGACTTCTACAGATTTACTGAACTGCAGAACAGCCTCATCGAACTGGCTGTTGTAGTGGTACGCCAGAGCCAGCTGGTAGTGAGTCTCTGCTAGCAGGCGGTCGTGCACCTCTAGGTACTTCTGCTGTAGGGCGAGGCAGGCCTGGAACTCCTCTATAGCTTGCACGTAGTTTTCTACAAACAGATACACAAGCCTTTATTAGACACAACCAGTAGGTATTAGTTCAAACAAACTAGTCACCACACCACCAGCTTCCCACTCAGTTTAGTCTCAACTGCTCTTGAATTCTGCATGACCTGGAAGCAGCCGTGACCTGTGCTGAGCAATGCCAGCTGATAGCTCAGAGTCGCAAGGAGCCTGTGGTTCAATGGTGGAATCTTTGCCTACCATGCAGGAGACCTGGGTTCAATTCCCAGACATGTATACAACTACAGCCATGGAGGCACCAAACATCTGGACTCAGTCTGGTCTTTGGAGTCTGTCTCAGTGGCCTAAAAAGATGGAAGGTCTGGGCAGCCTCCAGTCCTCCAAAAATCCCTGCCCAGGCATATGCATCAGAGGTCTGGGTGGCCCTCATGCATACACCATGATCCAGGAGGGCTGACAGGCTCCATAAGCAGCCCAAGAGCGAGTCAGTTTTAAGTAGCTGGGCAGCTTGTGGAAGACATCCCTCCTCAGCTCAGCACTTTGAAAAGGTCATTCTCCTGTTTTTGAAAGACCTACATAAGTCAGGTAGGGGAACACTGGAAGTATGAAATCAAGTTATACTGCTCAATAATAAGCAAAAAAAAAGTAATATCAAGAAGGAACTTTTATAATATCAAACTTTTAATATCAAGAAGGAACACCTTTTATAATTAAGCAGAGAAAGCTACCCAAGACCATACCTTCAAACTCCAAAATCTCCACTGATGGTTGAGGTGGTACAAGAGGAGAGATTATGCTTAGGGGCAACCAACACAGGTTCATTTGAGGCAGGTCCTGTCAGACCAACCTGGTGCCTTCTATGACCAGGTTACAAAATCCTTAGACGCAGGGGTCGCAGTGGATATAGTCTTTCTGGACTTCAGGAAGGCCTTCGACACTGTCTCTCACCCCATTCTCATTAAAAAACTCGGGGACTGTGTCATCGACACCTACAGTCAAATGGGTCGCTAACTGGCTGGAGGGCCGCACCCAGACAGTGGTGGTGGAGGGGTCTTATTCGACCTGGAGGGCTGTGGGCAGTGGGGTCCCCCAGGGCTCGGTCCCGCACTGTTCAACATCTTTATCAGCGACTTGGACGAGGGGGTGGAAAGCACGCTGCTCAAATTTGCAGATGACACTAAGATGTGGAGAGAAGTAGGCACGCTAGAAGGGAAGAATAGGCTGCAATCGGACCTAGACAGGTTACAGGGGTGAGCAGATGAGAACAGGATGGGTTTCAACACTGACAAGTGCAAGGTGCTGCACCTGGGGAGGAAGAGCCAGCAGCAGACCTACAGGCTGGGGAACTCCCTTCTCGTCAGTGCAGAGGCAGAAAAGGATCCTGGAGTCAGTATTGATGCCAAAATGAACATGGGCCGACAGTGTGGGGACGCAGTCAGGAAGGCCAACCACACCTTGTCGTGCATCCACAGATGCATCTCGAGCAGGGCCAAGGAGGTGATCCTCCCCCTCTATACGACACTGGTCAGGCCACAGCTGGAGTACTGCGTCCAGTTCTGGGTGCCGCACTTCAGGAGGGATGTGGACAGCATGGAGAGGGGCCAGAGGAGGCCACCCGCATGGTCAGGGGGCAGCAGGGCAGGCTAAGGGACCTGGACCTGTTCACCTCCACAAGAGAAGGCTGAGGGGGATCTAGTGGCCGTTTACAAACTAGTCGGGGGGGATGATGACCAGCAGGCATTGGGGGAGTCCCTGTTCCCCTGAGCGCTACCAGGAGTGACTAGAAATAACAGTCACAAGCTGGCAGAGGGCAGATTCAGACTAGACATCAGGAGGCGCTACTTCACTGTCAGGGCGGCTAGGATCCAGAACCAACTTCCAAGAGAAGTGGTGCTGGCTCCGACCCTGGGGGGCTTTAAGAGAAGGCTGCATGAACATCTCACCAGGGTCATTTGATGGCAGGGGGTCAGACTTGATGATCTGCTCAGGTCCCTTCCAACCCTACAAACTATGAAACTATGAGGCACAGCCCCCTTTTGTTAACCCACAGAGAAGCCTCCCAAATTGTTTAAATATTTGCCACAGGAAGCTTCTGACACCCCACTGTAGCCCGGAGGCAAGTAAAGAGAAGGGCACACTGGATTCTTTAACCGAAGTCTTGGGATGATTCAGCTTTTCCTAGCACAGGCAGAGAGTGAACTCAACTGAAGGGTTTGAGGAGAGCACTCTAGGACATGGTCATTCAGCTTCTCACATATCAATTAAGGCACTTTTAACAAGTTAAAAAAAAAAAACAAACAAAAAAAAAACCAGAAACACACAACTCGTTTTCTAGAATGTTCCTAGCCACACCTTAAACACAGCTGTCTTGCACAAGCAGACTTCCAAGTCCCTATTTCTAGTCCAGCCACAGGAGAAACTTGAACTCAGAACAGCTTCTTCCCGTAACTTGTGTCCAAGTTGGTTTTATCCCCCCAGCCACATTAGACAGCACCCAGGGGGCAGGACAGGCTAACGCCAGGCAGAACGACACTAGCTTAGCACCAGAGCACTTTATGCAGAATCAATTCAAGATAGCTTACCAGATTCGACGCTGACTTCTCCTAGTTTTAGGTGAGCTTGAGCAGCCAGGAGCTGAGCTTCTTTTGTTTCCTGTCTAAATCAAAAGAACCGTAGTTAGGCTGCTTGCTATAAAGCCCCTTTCTCAAGGGTACCTTCAGTATGCCCCTTCCCCAGTAGCTGTCTCAGCCCCCACTAGGGTTACAAATAGACATCATGAAATTAAGCAATCAGTTGTGCCGTAATTTCTCACAGCACATGCGATCTGCTTCACCTAGTGAAAGATCACCCCTTGTCCTGCCCCCCACTTCCCCACTCAGCCACACTCATGCCCCAGCTGAGTGGGGAAAGTGCCACAGAGGTAAAACATCCGCAGCAGCAAAGCAGCAGTCTATTACCACCTTTGTTGCACCACTGATTCTCCTTTAAATCTGGCACAAAGGGCATCAACGTGTATTGATAAAGCATTTGTGCTGCCATAATTTTGAGCGTCAAGTGATCCATTTCCACCCTAGTAGGTCCTGTCGCAGAGATGCACCAAGACTAAGAGTTTTTACCTTTTATAGATGACCTTGGCCAACTCCAGCATATCCCAAGCTAGCTCCAGATTCCCAACTTCATCCTCTTCGCTTTCCTGAGCAGACTAAAATGACATTGAAATTTTATTGAAATGCCACAAGCAACCCATAACATGGCCACATTTAGCAAAGATTCTCATCAGACATTTAGACATTAACCAATGCAGTGTCAGGTGATGCCTGTTAGTTATCCGAATACCTTCAATGTTACTTCGAGACTCTTTAAAGACGTTAGTAGTAAGAGGAACAGGAAAGCACAAAGTTGGATCCTCAGGTACTGCCTGAAGCAAAGTACTCCACCAAAACCCAGCTTCACGGGGGTGAAGTGACTTCATTTAGAACAGACGTAGAATAGCTTGGCCAAGTATGTTTGCTGACTGGAAGAACTGGTTGAACAAAGGCATGGTATATCCCTACAGCACCACAGTTACTGGGACCTGGGAAGTCTGGCACCAATTTGCAGAGTTCGTGTATACATGACCCTGTCCTGTTCAGCCACTGCCTTGACAAGCCTCCAGGCACAGACATCTAAATCACGGGTCACTGATGCATACAAAAAGAAGGAAGGGAGGGGGCAGGAGGACATAAACCTTTAAACAGATGAGTAGATAATACGACATAAGCCAAGAATTAAGAAATAGCTACTTCTCCTTGACTTGTCATGAAACTACTCCTGTTCCAGAAGAACATGATCCCTTGTTGGGTGCCAAGTCGGTTATTAGCCAAGAAGTTTCAAGTTCTTGATAAAAGCAGCAGCAGAAGCCACGCCTACATTATACCTGGTTCTCACCAGGGGCATTCTGTTCATCCAGAAGCACTGAGGACCAGTATTAAACAAGCAAGAGATCTCACCTTGTCTTCAACTGCAGATTCATTTTCCTTATCCTCTTCAGCTTTTTCGTTTTCTTTATCATCATCTTCTGATCCTTCTGTTTCTGCAAGAAACGCATGAGGATGACAACATGCCCAGTTAACGGGATGCGCTATATAGTTAGTCGGGCAACGCAAAGTAGACTAAATCTAGTTTCTTTCCTCTTCGTGAAAGCTTAGGGGTGACATTAGAACAGTATAACCAGCATCCACATCTCCTGTTGGCAGCAGCCACTATATTAAGACGTCAGGTATTGTAGTAGTGAAAACCAAGCTGATTCCCAGTCTATAGAAGCAGCTGTTTAGGATTAAGTCCTTATTTAGTACCATGTGGAACAAGGGAGAAGCTAATCCAGGGATAGGTTCTCATATATTTCTGCTTTCATATATTCTTGGTGACCTTCCACAGGAGTCAGTGGACTGGAGCAGCTGTGCAGCAGGACTAGCCACCTGTAGATGGGCAGACCATGCAGTGTTCCAGATAACTAAGGAGAAGGCCGAGTAGAGGGAATAGGACAGCGGTCCATAAAAGTCGTGAAGGGTATGGGTCAAGTGAACAGGGAACTGCTGCCCACCAATTCCCAGGACACTAGAACCAATAAAGGGGCACCCACTGAAATTGGTAGGTGACAGGGTTTATAGCCAACCAGTTTTTGGTTGGTTGGTTTTTGTTTGTTTATTTTTTAAAACACAAAGCAGGGAGGGCATTGAATAGGGGGATAGATCACTCCAGGGATTTCCAGTTCAGCACTTTCCCTGCATAGCATCCACTTCTGCCCCGTCAGAGACAGGATATGGGCTAGTCCCATTGGTCCAACCTAGTATGGATGGCACTTATGCTGTCATGTTTTCAGCAAGATAAGTCACAAAAATATAAAAAAGAAAGAAAGAAAGACAGAAACTCTACACTGGACTCCTACATTTGCTTATTCAGTATAAGCAGCTTTTGGTGACAATTACTGCTGTAAGGCACCAGTTCAGCTTACTACTTCCAAAGGACATTTACATCATCTCTCCAGCAAGAGAAAACAGACTAGGGGGTCAGATACAGAAAGCTTATCTCAGCTAACTTTTAGGTTGTGGCAAAGCCTGAGACATGCAAAGAGAGCAGAGAGAGAACAGAACGACTTGCTGCATGGATGCTGGAGCCAGCCTAGGAGCCGAGCAGACTGTAACTCTCCTAAAACAACCTAGCTGTTTTCAGTACAAAAGAAAAGAGGCCTGATCTCTGTTGGCAATTAGCATGGAGCTTCAGCTTTTACAACTGCTGCAACCAGAGCTAAAAACCAGCCTCCTCAGTGGCCTAGCTGATGCTGGAACAGCCCACGCCCGTGTGTATGAGAAGTAACTGCTTTATCAGGGCTGGAACATAGGAGATATCACAAAGCTAAAAAGGAGCAAAGTACTTCAAACTGTTTAAGTGACCAATTCAGGGAGGCTGGGAACAATGTTACACCATGAAATATAGCACCCAACTTGGAAAGTGTGTCCCTGTCTTCTCCCCACCCTTCCTCAAACAGCTTTGTTGGGGTGGGGGGGAAAACTCACGTTTAACAGCTTGACCCTGAGACAAGAGTGATCAATTAGAAGGATTTACATATTACATGGCAACTAAAGATGCTGGAGAGCAGAGCTGTACAGCACCCTTCCTTTTGCTGGAAGAGAGAGGCCTCTGAAGGCTGTCTGGACTGCCAAGGCAATCAAACAACGTGGATCTGCATCCATCACTGTTAAAGTGAAGCTTTTACTATGAACCACTCAGCTGGCCCAAGTGCGCCATTATGCAGATGGCGACACTTTATGAGCTACCAGGAAATGGCTTACAGCATGGTACTGTGAAAGTTTGTTTCCAAGACTGTTGTTAATTAGTTTAGCAGCTGTGATGAAGCAGGGAAGCAGAACGACATGAAAAGCTACACAGCAGAAGCATGTACAAGCCAGCACCAATTGACAATTAAATTTTAAATGCTTATCGTATTCAATTTAGATTCCCCCACTAAGTTTGCAATCTTATGTGATGGCCAGTAAGAGATTCCACAGAGGAGTTCAATTTTCAAAAGGGATCAATTCAGTGGTTTCTACTGTACTGCCCCCTCTGTCTAGAATGGAGGTCGGGACCAAAGGCAGCCTGTGTTTCAAGTTACCTGAAGGTTAGTGAAACAAACCCAGATACATGCAAGTGAACATCCATTCAGTATTCTCTACCAGCCCAGTGACTGCTTTCGACACATTACGTGGATCTCTTTGGGAGCCGCGGCTTGCTTGAACAGTAGCAATTTTGCTTTGCAGTTAGTTAAGCGTTAGTTTAGAGAAACTAAGACTATTTGCTGTTCCTTGGAACTTAAGTGAAACCAGCTTCTTGGATACAAGATCCTCCAAGTGCCCCCCTTGGCAGAGCCCTTGCCTAAGGCACACAGAAAATCCTGAATGGAATCATTTTTACCCACGGTTAGAAAGTCAAATCCATCAAGTAATCCACCCACAAGTACTTCTCCTCTCCCTGTTACCTTCTCCCTCTTCCAACAGGTCCTCTCTCTCTTCTTTTTCTACCTTAGAGCCTTCCGCTTCCATCAGGTCATCTTTCTCATCTTCTTGTGGTCCCTTAGCACCTACTTCAACTTTGGCTTCTGTTTGCGTTTTGTCGAAGGGCTCCCCATCCTCTCCAGGTGCAGCGACATCTGCAGCTACAGGTGGCGTTTCCTTTGAGGACTGAGTATCTTCAGGCTCCTCAGGTGGCTTCTCTTCCGGAGCTGCCTCTGCCTTTGCTTCAGCTGCCTCTGCCTGCTTTTCTTTGTCTTCCACTTTCTCCTCTGCAGCTGCCTCTGCCTGCTCTTCTTTCTCTTCCCCCTTCTCCGCGGCTGCCTCTTCCTTCTGTTCCATAGCACCCACAGCCTGTTCTTCAGCAGTGTCTGCTACGGGCTCTTCTGAGCCTGCCTTCTCTTCCACAGCAGCCCCTGCCTCCTTTACTGCAACTTCTGCCTTCTCTTCCACAGCTGCTGCTGCCTCCTCTCCTGCAGCCTCTGGCACTGGCTCTTCTGCCACTACCTTCTTTTCCACAGCTACAGCCGCCTGCTCCCCCACAGCCTCCACTTTCTCCAAAGCCATCTCTGCCTGCTTCTCTGCAGCATCAGCCTTCTGCTCCTCTGCCCCCGCCTCCTCTTCTGGAGCTGCTTCTGCCTGCTCTTCTGCAGGTTCTGCTGGCTTCACAGCTGCCTCTGCCTGCTCTTCCACCTCCTCTTTAGGCTTGGTCTCTGTGCCAGCAGCCACCTCCTCTCCTTCCAGTACTTCTTCCATTTCTACATCCTCTCCTCCAGTTTCCTTCCCACCTTCGGTCAGTGCTGGAGACTCTTCTGCAGATTTTTTGGATTCTTCCTTTTCCCCCATGGCGTTATATACCTGCTCTCTCAACTCCTCCCTTGCTTCTTCTACATGGTTAAGGAAGATGAAGCATAAACATTTCTTCGAGTTTAGTAATAAAAGCATTAACGGGAAATGAAAATACCACCCTCAGACCCTCCAATGTGTTGGTTTCTCATCAAGCCATAGCACGTTCCTAAAACATCACTCCCCTTTTGAAATCTAAGGAAAACTGGATCCCAGCTAACAAAGCAGCTTGTGATGAACACCTCTACCCCCCCGCCCCGACCAACACACACCAAGGCATTGTAAGCAGCCACTCAAGCAATATGCAGTTCTGTGCACTAGCATTTTTAGTCACAGCTAAGCAAGAGATGCCAAGCTTTATCCAGTAGTCTAGAGGGGCAGAGATGTGCCATCTTCATCTGTGAAGGAGTACAGAATGAAACCTGCCCTTGGACTTCTTACAGGAAGGACAGTTAGAGAAGTTTCACCAAGATGTCAGTCCTTTAATCAGGGGAAGGAGTCTTAGGGAACGACACCACGTGCCATTGTACTGCTGCAAGTTTACAAAAGCAGTGCAAGTGGGCTAGGAAGCTTAGACACAGGACAGGGTATCCGAGCGCAGTGCTTCAAAAAAAGCCTGACAAACCGAGTGACTTTTTGTGTTTGCTTTGAGTCAAGTTAGGGAAGAAGAGTTCCTTGCAAAAAGCTTTTAGCTACATTTGGATGAATTGATAAAACAAGACTCCTTCGCCTACTAAAAGTTTTGGTGTAAAGCTTCAGGGTAGTGAAGTACTCAGAATCCAGCATTTACAGGAAACAACATGGCTTGGCATCTCTATGGCATGTTAGACAGCTCTACATACCATCTATGTTATCAGCACTTTCTACCATTGAGTCATCTTCCGTTTTCTCCCCTTCTTCTTCAACTTGCACTCCTTCCAAGGCGTTTCCCAACACACCATTTTCCATTCTAGGAGAATAATGGAAGTATCATTCCCTGGTACTTGCCAAGAGCTACATGTATTGCTTAAAAGGAACAACTAGCAGGGAAGACTCTGCTCAGTATCAAGTTTAAGAGTGCCAATCCCACCCTCAGCCCTTTGTTGTTGTTAACAACACACTCCTGTCTTAACCTGCCAAGACTTATTACTGCAGACCCTGCTACTGGTCTCCGAGAGAGACTGTTGGTCACATGGCAATAGTTATAAGTGCTCAGGTACCACAGTGACGGTGCTCCAAAACTTGGACATACACACTCCAGTTGCACACTGTTCAATAGTGCTGTGGGCGAGAACACTTCCCTCTAGACCAGTGGTTCTCAGCATTTTTTTGCACCAGGACCCATTTGTAAACATTGATGGCCAAACCCAAACTAGTGCCCCTCATCCCCGACTTGCCCCCAGCGTGCGGGGCAGGGGGGGGGGGGGGGGCCGAAGGAACCCGGCGCCACGGGGGGGGGGGGCGTGGGGGGGGGGGGGGATGCCCCAGCAACCCTTTGCAGCCTGAAACTCTGCCAGGGAAAACCCATGGCTTCCACAGAGAATCCATTTTTAAAAAGTTTGCTCATGACCTTTTCATATATTCTTGCAACCCACGGGTTGAGAAACACTGCTGTACAGCAGGGGTTTGGTGGCCTTTTAGGAAGCTGCTTTAAGAGAGCCATGTTCACAACTGGGGGGGGAGCACTGCTGCCACTTCAGAGCTCAGTACACTGCCACCATCCTAGCTTCACAGGCTGTATCCAATTACTTGGCTGGCCACAGGTTGCCAACCCCTGCTCTGGTGGCATCTGATCATTTGCCCAGCCCTCTCCTACAGACTGTAGGACCTTTCTTGGAAATATAGATACTGTCACATTAAATCAGACCAACAGTCAGACTTGCTTATATCTCCCCTTGAACTCAAATCTTCTGCTCCATAACCTAACCCCTTTTTCCAATACCCCTTCCCAGTTTCCCACAAGTCAAAGACACCCCACTAAGTTCTTCTCTTTGAGGGGCCATTAGGTGATATTGCCAGTGTTTCAATCAAACAAGGGACCAAACTGAAGTTATTCAGTTACTCCCACTGAAGTTCTTGTCCAATCATGTCACTAAGTTACAAACAGGTTACGTTTTAAGCTATTAAAAACATCCAAGAATAACATTCTGCTATCTGCCATTTCTGTAGATGTATAGAAGACTGTTAAAATACCTTGCTAATTCCAGAAGAGACTTTCCATAGTAAAAAAAAGCTTCTGCACACTCGTCCGCTGTCTCGCCATATTTCTTACCCCTACAAAGGAAGTCAATTCAATCATCTGTTTGAACCGATTGTCAACAGGTTTTGTTTGTTTGTTTGTTTTTAAATGAACAGAGGTAAGTATTTCCTGGGTGAAGACAGCCAGTTTCTACACTGACATCTATTCCCCTGCCTCCTCCCTCAACAAAGTGGTGATTCTCTTTCATGATCAGAAAGAAAGTCTGGTTGGTCCAAGCACTCAAAACAGAGTATCTTGTGGATGGCAGACTTTTCTCCCAGAAATCAGGCAGCATGTTTACGATATACTACCAATTTGTCATTTGGATTAAAGAGATCCAAGTCACCAATTACAGGACTGGCATTTCTGGTTACATCTGTAACACTTAGCTGCTCCCCCAGGGTCTGAACATGTAAAATGGTGTTATTTCACGAGTCTAAGACACTGCATGCATCTTATAATGCCAATAGTTAATTAAGGATCATACACAACTTTGTACAGACAGCTCATCTGAGCCAGAGCCAGGTTTCTCCATCTAAGCTTGATCACACTTGAGTGATATGCATGAAAACAAAATCAGCAGAACAGAAATGCAAGTAACACGTTCCATTACTTACAATAAACTAGCAGCTTCCTGGAATGCATTAACAGCCGCTGGAATATCTCCCATTACCAGGTGTTTCTGTCCTAGGCCCAGTAGTTTCTTGGCTTCCCCGTCGACATCCACACTGGAAAGTTATTAAGTACAAAGCTGTGTCAATCACCATTTAGAGAGAACATCTGTATCCTCTTAAAAGCTCACATCTTTGCTTACCAAAAGATTTAAACCCAGCCTTCAAACCCTTCCCACCAAGGGTCAGACATTAGCCAGCCATGGTTTATATATTGCCAAGTCATGAGATGCCACATTATAGATTTAATTCTGGAGAACTTTCATTCACACCAGTTTTTAGGTGTGCTACCCTGGGGATTAAGACCAATTCTTCCATTTGTAGCAGCAGAGCAGTGGTTCTCAACCAGGGCCCTGCGAGATCCCTTCAGGGGTGCCACAGTGGTGTGGGCACCGCTGCTGCTATGGCCAGGTGGAACAGTGCCACATGCCTCCTGTGTGGAGAGTGGGAAACAGCTGTGGCAGGAGCACCTGTTCCCTTCCCAGTCCAACCCTACAGTCTCCTGGAGAGGGGCATGCAGAGCAGGTGGAACTGAACAAGGAGTTACCCAGTAAGCTGAGGCAGTACAACTGGGGTGCTGCCAAATTCAAGAAAGCTACAGAGGTGTGCCCTGACTAAGAGGTCGAGAACTACTGCACTAGAATAATTTAAGAGCATCCAGTGCAGTCTGTTTTAATTAAGCTACCCCTAGGAGGACCCCAAAGATTGTTCACACAGTTCCTCTCTGGAATAAAACGAATGCTAAGAAAGGGACTGGCAGAACATGCTTAAACTCTGGTCTCTTATGCGAGGACATGATGAAGCTCAGACCTTTCTAATCTGCAGGAATCCTGGCTTTCTGTTTAATAAATTAATAATTATATACCATCATGTATAATAACAAATTATATTTATCAGATAATGATAAATAATAATTATTATGTAGAATATGTATCTATATATAGCAGTTTGGAAGCCTACTAGTGCCTCAATGACAATCATAAAAGAATATTTAAATACCTATATTTTGCCACGATTTGGGGTTTGTTTGTTTTGGGGTTTTTTTCCTCTTTTTTTTTTTTTTTTTTTACCATGGAAAGAAATCCGCGCACCTGGTTATGGGTCCAGTTGCAGCTGTCTCCCCCCACATGGTTTTGTGGCACTGAGCAGCCCCAATATGCTAGTGCCCTGCCCCTGCCATTGCCCCTCAACTCCTGACCCACAGCCCCCCACAATGCCCCTCACTCCCCACACACAGACCCCGCCCCCCCCCAGCTCTGCTGGAAGGGGCCCCAGCTGCCGGGGCTACAGGGCCTGAGCCCCGCTCCTGCCCATGGGAGGCAGCAGCTGCTGTGGCAGGACAGCGGGAGCCGACACACCATTGGCAGCCCCATGGCCCCATGGTGTGGCACCACATACTTGCCCAGCACCAGCAGGGGCACAGCTCTCTGCCGCCACCCCCACTGCTGCTGGGTGGGCACGGGTTGCCTCACCGTGGTGGCGTGGGGCTTGCAGCAACATGAGCCTTCCCACCCAGCCCTGCCAAGCCAGGTCCCACCCGCTGGACCGAAGCAGCCCCAGAGGGGAGGGCAGGGCAGGGAGCCCCGAGCTTGCAGCAGGCAGCCCGCACCCACCACATGCACAAGTCTGGGGGGCACATGCTCCCCCCAGGAGTGCGCCCAGCAGCAGGGAGCCAGTCCACCCGCTAACCCCTGGACAGAGCTGCGGGCAGCTCATCCCTTTCCCTGCCTGGGCCCTGTCACCACACGTGGCCATGGGCCCAAAGCCCCATGCACAGCCCCAGCCTTGCCCAACTCCCTCCTTCATTATGGAGGCCTCAATTACACCCCCCACCCCCCGGACTTACCTGCAGGGAGCTGCTCTCTAAGCTGCCAGGTGCATATGTACACACACACACACACACACACACACACACACACACACACACACACACACACACACACACACACACACAGCACCCCCTTGCCAGTGATCACCCTCCTCCTGCTCCCCCCCATCCCTTGCAGGCTGGAACTTGCGAGCCTGCAAGGGGAAATCCACTGGTTCCTGCGTTTTTCTCCTTTAGAAGGAGAAAACAGGTTTTACCGCATTTTTCCGCAGCAAACAGAAAACCCAGATCCCTGCTAATCAGGAAGACATTTACATCCTAGCATCTTAGTTCCACAGACGCTGCCCCAAGTTTTTGCTTGCTTCCATAAGCAGTTATTATTCACGGTTCCACTTTACCTGTCAGTTTTCTCTGCAGACGTGGACGGAGCTGCCAGTTCCTCTTCCATTCTACAACAGCACGTTCAGAAACAATTAGAACAGACTCCCAGGACTGTCGCATTATCGAACAGGGACCGACTACCCTGTAGTTCACACGTTTCTAGGCTGAACAAGACCATGCAGGTTCAGATTGCTGAGCCCGTGGCATCGCCATTTGCAAATGTTGTGGACCATGGTGCAAGCCCAAACGAGCAGGCTGCTTTGTGGGAAAACTGTCAAACCCAGAAGTTTCTGCTTGCGGCATGTAAGTTTAGCATTTTCTGATAAAGCTAGAAAAAGGAACTTTATAGTCTTTTCTACGTTTCCATTTAAACAAAGCCTTGAAGAGCTTTGGATGGAAACCTTTTTTTTTTTTTTTTTTTTTTTTAAAATCAGGCCTAATTTTTAAAGAGGGATGTTCTTGATTTGACGCGAGTTTACAGTAATCAATCACATAACATTGCTTTGGCTCCTGCAGCAACAACTCCTCGCACCTAGTGAAACCAGAGATGTATAATGAGCTTGTGTAAGCAGGGGGCTTCCTAAAAGGTGCTGCAAGGGGACTGCAGGGAGCAGAGCCACTAGATAGAGAGCAGCAATTAAACCATGACATCTCCAGCAATTAGTGTGGGCCAGCCAGACTCACTGGAGACCACCCAAGTCTTTTTCTCACGAAGGCACCAGACCCAGATGCCGCCGAATGACCAAACACCACCGACTGCAACGTGCGAGGTCAGAGCCGCGGGTAAACGAACATCACGCGCATCAGCGCCTCCGCCGGACAATTAAAGTGAGCGAACGCCGACCCGACACCGCTACCAGAACGACACGGGGCTGCCGCAAAACCTCCGACCTCCCCGGAGGATCTCGGAGCAGCTCTTAGACAAAGAAAACCTTTAAAAAAGCCTCGCTTGAGCAGGAAATGGCGGAACGAGGCCGGGTTAAGGAGGAGCAATCGTCACAAATCGCGAGGGAAATCGAGGTTACACAGGAGGGAAAGGTATAAACCGACCCTGCCTTCTCCCTGACCGCAGACGGAGACCGGGATCCACACGCCTCTATTTAAAATGGGCGCATTCAACTTCACGCGACTCCTTGCTCACCCAAGAGCCTACAAACACCAGCAGACTCCCCCCCCCAGCCCGAGGAAGGGGGTTTGTGCCCGGAAACATCGTCCGTGGCAAACTTCCAGCAATTTAGTTGGTTTAATAAAAGCCTGCACAATCCGCCTAAATAACCACGTCTGCCTACGGGCCATAGCAGAGCCGTGTCTGGGCAGCACGCGGCCCACGGGCACCCATCGCAAGCCCCACGGAGGAAACAGCTTAGCGGAAGAGGCAGGCGCGGGGTGCACCGCCTTCGCCGGCAGCGTCCTCGCTTCCCTCGCAAAGCGCAAGGAAGGGGTGTTTTAATCAAAACCGCTGGGGAGGAGATAGCTAACCTCCATGGCAGCTCTAGAAACATGAGATTATTAAAAAAAAAACAAACCAAAAAAAACACCACAAAAATAAGACGGGTCACTTCAGCCGTCTGGGAAAAATCCCATTTCACATTTCGTGGCTTAATGTCGCCCCCTCGTTTGTGCTCAGCAAACGA